AGAAAATAATCTTTATTGCATATGAAAAACAGTTTTATAATTCATTTTACTTCATAAATTTGATTTAATTTTGCACCAAAAAATTTTTAGGTTATAAATTTGCATATAACATTTATTTATTATGTAAAATTAGCAGAGGTATGTAAAGTTTCATGTTTGCCATTCTTTTAAAGATAATACTGAATTTATTTTGTTATATCATTTATTAATTTCAAATACAAATAATTGGGTATAAAATAAATTTAAACTAAAATACTTTCAAGGTTGTTTTTTTATGATATTATATTTCAAATATTACGATGGAAAAGTTATATTTACAGAAATGAAATGTAAAAATTAATTACAGAATAATCAAGTATGAAATTCCACAAAGTAATCATAGCAAATGATTCAGTAATGATTCTGTGAAGTAGTTTCTGAATCAGTTACGTATACTGCTCATTCAGAATTTGACCCCTCTGATCAGTAAGTATTATTTCTTTCTAGAATTGTGATATTTTTGTTTCAAAATTGTGATCTATCTTGGGTCAATAATAGCTGAATGTAAATATATGAGTTTAAGAATTTTTGTCACCAGTTCTCGTTTTTATTTTATTAATATTTTATTATAAATATGCTTAATTTCGCATTAATTTGAATATATGACACTCAGCAATTTTCTCATATAAATTTAATTTATTCTGAGCATTATTGGTCATATTTTTGCTTATTTGATTTTATTTGAATTTTTATTTTGCTTTTTATATTATTAAAGCAATATTTTGATCAAATGTAATAAAACATTTATACCATACTTAAATCAAAAAAAAGTTTTTTTGTGCATGAAAGTATAATTGACTTTGACATAATAAAACTTAGTTACACTGTTAAGAATTTTATGAGTTGCACAAAGTTATCCACTGATCATATTATTATTAATGTAATTTTTTAAATGCGAGAAGTGAAAACGATCTGCTAGGAAAGCTATGCAACTTTTTATTATTCAAATCTTTTAAAACTTGCTGAATTGCAAAAATTTTTTGTTTTTTTCGAAAATTTTAATTCAAATAAAGTTCGCCTTAATCCATCTCCAATTAAACAATAAAATAACTTAATTAATTACATTTTAAAAAAAGTTATTTTCCATAGATGAAAAGTATTCAACAATGTTACAAACATATAAATATGAGCAATAATTATTTGTTTTCAAGATTTGCTCATAACATTGATTATCCTGGCACAACATTCAGGATATCTGCGTGAACTTGGATTAAACCCAAGTTTACTAACTTAAATCTGAAATGTATTTGTACTCAAATGTTACAGCGTTGATCATGCAAAGATGAAAACTGAATAATTAGATTATTAAATAGATGAAAAAATTAACTATAAATAACTTATGTATGAAAGATGAATTTGACTCAAAAAAAATTATAAATTGTTCAATTGGAGATGGAAAAATAAATGCATGCGATCACTTGGACGTCACGCAATTATTGACGTCTTGTGATAATTTAAAAATTCATCAAAAATGTCATTCGAAAATGGCTTTTAGAGAAATAAAATGAATATTACTTTTGCATGACAATAACAGATAGCACGTTTGATTAAAATTTGATATCGAATGTATGAAAAAGTATTTTACAACTCCAAAATTATTCCGTCTGATGATTAAAAATAGCCAAAATAGAACTGAAAAAAAGCAAACGATAACATTCAGATATATGTGAAATAGTATATTACAGGGCTGTAAGATAAAGATGTTAGCCAATTAAACGCTGTGTGACAACAATTGAATTAAGTATATCTGTATGCTAATTAAATTTTCTAATCCAGTTGCAGTGACCGTCAGCTAGCTGGCTAATAGTTGTTGTAATCTTAAATTTGCATCCACTGATTACTTACTTCAAGTATTGACAAAGTATTTATACAGATAGAAGAATAATAGCTAATATTCTGTGAAAATTACTACTATTTTCAAAAATTCAAAGAAGTTTTTTTAATTGTGCTTTTAAATAATGCTATCTATTACAGTATAATCAGTGTGAGTACTTCCAAACAATAAATCTAAAGTATATAATCGTTGGAACACTGAAAAAAGCTACAAATTTCTACTAAGCAATCTTTATACTAAAGTTTACAATTATTGACATTCATTCACATTATAGTAATTAGAGGGATGCAACTTTATTATAAATAATATCAACGAAAACAATTTGAATTAGTTATTATTATGTTAAAGAATGATATCTGAAGTCTTATTTGTTATATTATGCATTGAAATAGTGAAATTTTATGAAAATCAGAATTCTAAACTTGATCATAAGATCAAATGAACAGAAATGAAGCCTGCTGAACTCGAAAAATTAAGCATCAAAATTAATCACTTAACACTGCAAGAAATTTGATGCATTCAAAGCAGATTCTAAATAAGTGTAGAATGAAAATTAAGAAAAAAAAATCTTCTTTGAATCACGAAAACTCGATTAACTTACAGGAAACAAAAAATTTATCTTGCACATAAAAATTTTTGTTGCTTTTAATTTAAACAGATGAAAAATGAGTGAGTTATTTCAACCATGAATAAACTATATTCAATTTGAAAATCAAATCTCAACAAATTCTTTATCAATTATGTTATCACTTACTATCATACATCAAGTAAATCGATTGATCATATAGCCGATTTAAAGTTATTTAACCTTAGAACTGCTTACAATAATCACTTCACAGAAGATTTAAAGTTCTATTCTAAAGTAAATTTTTTATCGCAATTTTTTGTTTTTTCTTTCACTTTTAGGAAAATAATTTCATTTTCGAACTTTTCTGCTCCAAAATAATTATAGTTTGGAATTCACACATTTTTTAAATGGAAAATTTTCCAATAAAATAGAGTTTGTTGTGAACTAACTTTAAATTCTGAATTGAAGTCAAATTTGAGTTGACATTTGTGATAATTTCAAACAGTTGCTAAGTGTTTGTATGGTTTTCTACAAGATTTGTTTCAGTGATCAAAAATGATTGTTATAAATGATTTTTTTT